CCCCCAAAGCCCCCAGGGCTTCAGAGTGAGGATTAAGCCATGTAGGGAAGACTGAAACCAGAGTGGCAAACTAGTACCCCCAACCTGCAGAGAAGCTGGAACAGCTGTGGTGCTGCCCACTTTGGGACAGTCATTAGCTACCCGCTTCTTCTTGGGGCCCCTACGGAGGCACCTGAGTGCATTCTCACAGGAGACTACTGAGGGCTTGTTTCTGGCGGTGTGCATGATCTGCTGATGCTACTGCGGCCGAGGACGCCGAGAGATGCCTCCAGCTCCTTTGAAGGCAAAGGTGCGGCTCACCCTGGTCCTGCCCCTACTTGAAAGCTGACTCCCACTGTCTCGGTGCCATAGGGCCTAGCTGCTGTAACTGGGTCAGAGTGTCAGGGAGACTCCTGCCTGGGCTGGAGGGGCAGCTGTTGCTTGCTACAAAAGGGCTTTCAGGTGCCCAAAACTGGGTGCCACTCCCCATTTCCTGAGTGCTGCAGGGGTCCCAGGTGGCGAGCTCTGCCTGGCCCCATTTGCCAGGGTGTGATTGCTGCCTGGAGGGCCATGCCTCATTCAGAGCTGGCCTGAACTTGAGCCCTGTGGCCAGCTCCCCAGGTGCAGAGGCCCTGCCGGGCACACCTGCCATGTGTGGCTGATCCTCCTTGAGTCTGAGTTCAGAAAGGACGAACCGCTGGCCTCTGGGGTGATCCTCAACTCTGGCCACCGAGTCAGAATTGACTGTGAGGCTTTCTAGACATTCAGTGGCTGGGTCAGAGATGAAAGAGGGGGGGATCAGGGGAGACTGGGGCCTTTCTCCATTCTGACAGTTTCATGTGAGTTTTCCATCTTTAGCTGAAGACAGATTTGGGGCACTCATACGTAAATGTGCACCAGTGGTCACTTTCCACGTGCCTGCGTCTCTTTAGATTCACAGGTCTGAAGCCTGGGAGTATGCTCTGTGCATTCAGAAGCTCTCAGGTGCCTTATATGGAAGAAAAGAAAGTGAAAGTGAAGTGGTTCAGTCATGTCCCACTCTTTGCGATCCCATGGACTGTAGCCTACCAGGTTCCTCCGTCCATGGAATTTTCTAGGCAAGAATACTGGAGTGGGTTGCCATTGCCTTCTCCAGGGGATCTTTCCAGCCCAGGGATCGAACCCAGGTCTCCCACATTGCAGGCAGATGCTTTACCACCTGAGCCTACACGGAAGAGAGATGGTGATGGTGCTGGCTGTGAGCAAAAGGGACAGGCGCCCTGCCTCTTGTTCCCTGAAGCTGGGACTGCTTCACTATAGCTCAGGCTAAGTCTTTAGGGCCCACGGCAGGTCTCAGTAGAGGTGGATACCCCTTGGGCTAATGAAATTTCTGCTCTCTTCTCCTCATGGGCTTTTCAAAAGCCCGTTCTTAATTTTGTATTCCAATTGCACATTTACTTCCTAAAGAGGGCTCCCCAAGTTACAGCAAGGTCAGGGTGTCCCAGTCCCCAGCCTGCCCTTCAGCCTCACAGGGAATGTCACAATGGGGAACTGAAATTCACTTATGGCTACTGTAATTTTTTCAGTGTGCTGAGTACATCTCCTGCTCAGTACATCTCTGTTCAGTTATGATTTGGGAAATTGACACTGTCGAGCTCCAACTGAAAACCCACTGCCTATCTGCCAAGGCTACCCAAATGTCCCATCAGCCTAAGACATGGTGTGTCCTAAACTGCTCTTCTCTCTCCTTCTCTCATATCCCAGGATCTGGTAGATCAAGAAGCCTGGGAGTTGTTCCAGGTTCTCCTCCTTCTCTGACTGCCATCCTCTCACTCCTTGCCATTGATCAGTCACATTACCTTCTAAACATCCTTCTTCCAATTCCCCTTCTCCATCCCCAGCACAGACAGCCACCCCCAAGCCCCCACCAGCTCACACCTACATTAGTGTAATGATGTCTCAGTCTGCAAGTATTATCCTGTATCACTCCACTTATCCTCCACCAGCTGTCAGAACAATGCTCCTCTGGCTACAGAAGTAAAAAATGGCCACTCGTCTGCTTCAGAAGCTCCTGCTTCCTCAAAGAGGAAATCTTCCTAGCAAATCCTCAGGATTCCGGATGCAGGAGCCCCATCAGCCTCCTCTCCCGCTATGTTCCAGCCCCAGAGGCGCCGTGTGCTTCTCCATCATACCATGCTCCTCTCCTTCATGGTGTGTGTCTCCTCACCCCACTTCAATATCTCTGTCACCACCATAAAACACAACTTTTTCTCCGTAAGCCCAGCCAATTCACCATCAACCCTCACATAGACCGGTCTTATCTGTAAGGTGCAATTACTACACCTCTCTTTCTAATAGCCTGGCAGGACCTGAAGACCTGATGTGTGTCTTATCTCAGCACCCTGTGGCCTGCTTGGTGCATAGAGGGTATGCACAACACATTTCTGAAGGAATGAAGAAATCAATGTATAGTGACTCTGATGGCCTGGTTGTCCCTCAGTTAGTGACAGACTTGAGAATCCCAAATGCTTCCTTAAGGGACATAGAAGCATGCAACATTTTCAGTAACAACTCAGTTTGAATACAGTCAATATCCTGAATACATGTATTCACTTGTTAACATTTTTAATCCACTGACCTGCATAAAGTCAACCAATGAGAGTAAATTCTCTTATTCAAAGGGTGATTATTCACACATTTTGCTTCCTACTTTTCATTATTTTGAAGTCTCTTTTGGAGTCTTACAGGGATAGTTACAGTTTATTGAACTCCTGTGCTGCATTTTGCATGTTTCACAAATATCAAGGCTACCTCACTACATCTAAAAACTTCATTAGCACCTCAATTAGAGAAACAAAGCAAGCTTAAACATATTAATAAATCGAACTGAGCACGTACCAATACTAGTTAGCACGTTTTCCAAAAACATTCAGAGGGAGGGAAGAGTTCAGCCATGGGATTTTAACGAATTCCACTGTAGACTCTGTCGTCCAAGCTGGCCTTGGTCTCCACCAGTGGGGCAAGTGAGAGATGCATATATTGTTACTAGGACTGGGTTAAGGATCTAGGAGTCTCTGTGGCTCTTGCAAGCAGAAAAAATAGCCAAGCAGATGAGACAGAGGGGACAGTCAATGTACAAATGAACTTATTTACAAAACAGAGGCAGACTCAGACTGAAGAGAACAAACTTAAGGTTGCTGTTGGGGAAAGAGTGAGGGGAAGGGATAGTTACAGAGTCTGGGATAGGCATGTGTACACTGCTACATCTAAAATGGATAACCAACAAGGTCCTACTATATAGCACATTGAACTCTGCTCAATGTTATGTGGCAGCCTGGACGGGAGAGGAGTCTGGGGGAGAATGGATACATATACATGTATGGCTGAGTAACTCTGCCATTTACCTGAAACTTTCACAATGTTGTTAAACAGCTAGACTCCAATATAAACTAAAAAGTTTAAAAAATAAAAAGAAGAAAGGAGTAAAGAGAAAATTCAAGAAAAAGCACAGAAATTTATAAAGGTTATAAGAGAAAGAGGTAAAAAAGAAACAAAGTTAAGAGTGTTTGAAGAAGTACAGACCCAGTGACTGAGAAAGACAAAGAAGAAAAACTAAGAATGCAGAGTCCAAATCACATCTCACAGCAGGAAACTGGAGGGGTTTTGAAAATAGTCACAGAACAATCATCCCTGGAACAGCCAGGTTCCTTCTGAATTGTCCCCAAGGAAGAATTCCTCCATCACAGGCTCAGGATCTTTTCATAGAACTTAACTGACTTACTGATCAATTGAGTGAAAATCCTCCTCAACACAGAGCCACTTTTTCTCTATCAGTTTAATGAGAAGCTGGCTAAGGGCAGATGTCCACTGGATAAGACTACAATAAGCTCGGATGTGTAGCGTGGATTTCAATCCTGCTCATGGATAAAGCAGCTTGGAAAGTATTCTGCAGTGACATAATGAACTCATACGGCTTCCTCCCTCCAAAACCAAAAGCAAGTGTGGTTTTGATAGACTTTTAATCTGTATTTCAGGGTCTGATTCGCATACCGTCTCCCCGTTTTCTTCTCTGCCTGGAGGAGCTGAATGACAGCTCTCGCCTCAGAGACATTTTTTCCATTATAATTTTTCAATTTGTTCTGGTCTGAAAAATGTGTAGAAATGAAAACAGAGAAAATCCAAGTCCTGTGTCCCCTTCAAACATTCTGTTTTGGCTTCACCGTGACTCTATATACTCTGTTAAGCTTCCCTTTCTTTTTTGGCAAGTGGTCTTATTTCTTCCAGATTTCTGATTGCTTCTAACAAGCCAGAAAATATTTACTGGATTGGCAGGCAAGTCTCTCATGCTTCTTTATTTTTCACCTCTTTTTGACCTACGATCTCTTCTTTTAGGTTCCCCCCTCCCTTTCTAAAAAAACAAAAAAGAAAACCTTTGGGAAAACTCAGATTAGCCTCAGGATTCAAGAGAGACACTCCTTCACATTCCCATTAGCTCAGCATCCCAGAGAATGAAGGGCCAGAATGGTCTGTCAGAGTCCTATTGTTCATCTGCTCTGGGTAAGCTGACCTAGTCTTCTTGTTGTATATGTGCTAAGTCGCTTCAGTCATGTCTGACTCTTTGTGACCCCATGGACTGTAGTCCGCCAGTCTCCTCTGTCCATGGAATTCTTCAGGCAAGAATACTTGAGTGGGCTGCCATGCCTTCCTCCAGGGGACCTTCCCAACCCAGGGATCAAACTCGCATCTCCTGTGTTTCTTGCATTGCCAGGCAGGTTCTTTACCACTAGCGCCACCTGGAAATCTCCTAGTCTTCCTACCTTAAATAATTTTACAGCTTCTGTTTCCTTAGTGACAGGAAGGAAAAGTATTTGCCCAGAGAAGGCAGACTGGATGAGTTTGGAGTAGTCTGTATACACCCCACTTATCAGGAGACTGGGGAGCCCAGAGGCCCCGAGGGCTCACGGCTACAATTTTTGTCACTTCTCAGCCTGTTCCTTCCTCCACCGGAGCACCACTGGCCCCACCAAGGAGAGCATGCTTACCTTCCTGGGCTTGACTTTATCATGGTAGTCATACTGGAAGATGCCTTTGTAGCTCAGGCCCAGCCACCACGGTATCCCTTGCTTGTCCTAGGACATCAAAAGGAGCACGGGTAAGCGGGACCAGAGGAGAGAAACACGAGCCAAGAGATCTGCTTCATCTGAAGACAAAGGGAAAAGCAAATTCTTTGACAGGGATGGAGCCCACCTCTCCACGATTTACCTTGACAGGTGTGCCCTGTCATCAAAGGATGCTCAGTGATGTGACTTGGAAAGTGCTCTGGGCTAGTGACCCAGCTCCACTCCTAACCAGCAGCATAGCTGTGGTTGTCTCCCCCATTCTGAGTCAAAAGCAGATGCCTTGTTCTCCGTTCTCCTTCAAAGACTTTAGGTTTTCAGCGCTGCCCACCTCCACTCCCTGCCCCCCCAACTAAGGAAAATCTGAGAGATGCTGAGCACTGACAAAATGACCTTCCGAGCCGAGAAACTGTCATCGGCTGTCAGAGCTGGAAGGAACCATGGAAACTATGAAAGGTGACCCCCCTGAAAATTTTGCCTTAAAAGATTTTAATTTTTTTTTACAGCAGTTTTAGGTTCATGGCAAAATTGAGAGGAAGGTACAAAAATTTCCCATATATTCTCGTCCCTACACGTGTACAGCCTCCCCTATCAATAACACCCCACACTGGAATGGTACTTTTTTTTTTTTTTTTTTTTAATTTTTTATTAGTTGCAGGCTAATTACTTTACATCATTACAGTAGTTTTTGTTATACATTGATATGAATTAGCCATGGATTTACATGTATTCCCCATCCCAGTCCCCCCTCCCACCTCCCTCTCCACCCGATCCCTCTGGGTCTTCCCAGTGCACCAGGCCCGAGCACTTGTCTCATGCACCCAACCTGGGCTGGTGATCTGTTTCACCCTAGATAATATACATGTTTCAATGCTGTTCTCTTGAAACATCCCACCCTCGCCTTCTCCCAGAGTCCACAAGTCTGTTCCATACATCTGAGTCTCTTTTTCTGTTTTGCATATAGGGTTATCGTTACCATCTTTCTAAAGTCCATATATATGTGTTAGTATACTGTAATGGTCTTTATCTTTCTGGCTTACTTCGCTCTGTATAATGGGCTCCAGTTTCATCCATCTCATTAGAACTGATTCAAATGAATTCTTTTTAATGGCTGAGTAATATTCCATGGTGTATATGTACCACAGCTTCCTCATCCATTCGTCTGCTGATGGGCATCTAGGTTGCTTCCATGTCCTGGCTATTATAAACAGTGCTGCGATGAACATTGGGGTGCACGTGTCTCTTTCAGATCTGGTTTCCTCGGTGTGTATGCCCAGAAGTGGGATTGCTGGGTCATATGGCAGTTCTATTTCCAGTTTTTTAAGAAATCTCCACACTGTTCTCCATAGTGGCTGTACTAGTTTGCATTCCCACCAACAGTGTAAGAGGGTTCCCTTTTCTCCACACCCTCTCCAGCATTTATTGCTTGTAGACTTTTGGATAGCAGCCATCCTGACTGGCGTGTAATGGTACCTCATTGTGGTTTTGATTTGCATTTCTCTGATAATGAGTGATGTTGAGCATCTTTTCATGTGTTTGTTAGCCATCTGTATGTCTTCCTTGGAGAAATGTCTGTTTAGTTCTTTGGCCCATTTTTTGATTGGGTCATTTATTTTTCTGGAGTTGAGCTGGAGGAGTTGCTTGTATATTTTTGAGATTAATCCTTTGTCTGTTGCTTCGTTTGCTATTATTTTCTCCCAATCTGAGGGCTGTCTTTTCACCTTGCTTATAGTTTCCTTTGTTGTGCAAAAGCTTTTAAGTTTCATTAGGTCCCATTTGTTTATTTTTGCTTTTATTTCTAAAATTCTGGGATGTGGGTCATAGAGGATCCTGCTGTGATTTATGTCGGAGAGTGTTTTGCCTATGTTCTCCTCTAGGAGTTTTATAGTTTCTGGTCTTACATTTAGATCTTTAATCCATTTTGAGTTTATTTTTGTGTATGGTGTTAGAAAGTGTTCTAGTTTCATTCTTTTACAGGTGGTTGACCAGTTTTCCCAGCACCACTTGTTAAAGAGGTTATCTTTTTTCCATTGTTGGAATGGTACTTTTGTAGTAATTGATGAACCTACACTGACTCATCTCAGTCACCCAGAGTCCATAGCTTCCCTCAGGATCCATTCTTGGATTGTACATTTCATAGGTCTGGACAAACGTGTATAGATATGTATCAATCATATAGTGTTGCACAGAGTATTTTCATTGCTCTAAAAATTCTGTGTGTTCTTATCTATTCATCCCAGGTTCTGGCAACCAGGTTTGTCTTTTCCAGGATGTCATTTAGTTGGAATCATACAATATGCAGCCTTTTCAGATTGACTTCTTTCACTTAGTAATATGCATTTAAGACTGCTCTAATTTTTAAAAACAATTTTTTTTGAGTAGGGTTGATTTATAACGCTGTGTTAGTTTCTTCTGTATAGCAAAGTGAATCAGTTATACATAGATCAACTCTTCTTATTTTTTCTTAACTTGTGCATCTCTTTCTTATGTTAGCTATTTTTTTTTGTTTTTGATGTGGACCATTTTTACAGTCTTTATTGAATTTGTTATAATGTTGCTTCTGTCTCATGTTCTGGCCCTTTGGCTCCAAAGAACGTCGGATTCTAGATCCCTGGCTAGGGATCAAACCAGCACCCTCTGCATTGGAAGGGAAAGCCTTAACCACTGGACTGCCAGGGAAGTCCCAAACTCCTCTCGTTTTAGACAAGGAAATCATGCAAATGTTGTGTCCTACTGTACTCAGGACCCTCCCTCTCCCCCCCGCCCCCAGCAGGCTGTTGGCAGTGCAGGGCGAGCAGGTGCTTCCCAATGTGTCCTGCTCACTTACGAGGACAGTGGCTTCCAGGCTGGCCTGGGTGACTCCGGCTACAGGACAGAGTAACAAAATTGAAGCCTAGACACTTCGGGGGCAGAATGAGAAATGCCAAGACCCTCTGTCTATTCCTTTAACAGAGACCTCTGGCCCCCAGATAGTAAATCTCCATTCAAGTAGGGTGATTGTTAACGAGACGATCCCAAATGCTAGGAATTGGCAGTGAGCATATCAAGCAGCCTTTCCCTGGATTTGTTCTAATTGCCACATGGATGAATGACCTAAAAGCCCACGGTGGATGTCCTGAAAGCTCAAAGTTGGCTTCAGGGTTTTGCGGGGCATGAGTCTGTGCTTCAAGGTAAGCACAAAGGTAAAAAGCAGAAGAACTACATTTAAAAATTTTAGAACAGCTTCTAAATTTCTGTAATGGTATAAAACTCCCGTCTCTGGAAAGTGGCCATGTCACTACACTGATTTTGAAGAACAGAACAAGAGGACAGATGAAAGCCACTGTGGTTCCAGATTGTTGAGGCAAGAGGTATTATCACACCAAGACATGTGGCATCTGTGAAATTTACAAGGAAGGCCACCAAACAGTGAGTCTCCATATAGTTGTTTAGGCTCTTTCTCTAAATAAGTGGGAGAGCACTCCTGCAAGCTTGAGAGTCCAAAAGTCAAACACACAGGCACATCTGGCACCTAGAGATTCACAAGGTCTGTTTCTGGTCTCTCACAAACAGCAAAGGAGCATATTTCTAAAGTTTTATTGTATAGCAGATAGCATGCATATCAGAGGTTGTCCTTTCGTCAAGTTCTAGGGCTGATGAGGAAACAGAATTCAGGTTTACACTGTGTTCGTAAAACCCAGATGAAGTTCCATCTTAAGGCCTTTCCATCTAGGTATCTCAACCTATCTCAATAGTCTTCTAATACTTAGAAAATTTTTGTGGAGTAGTTGGAGAAGCAAATTTATTAATCTCTATTTTATTTGTTTATTTTATTATCTATATACACACATATATTATTTTTATTCATTTACTTCTGGCTGTGCTGGGTCTTCGCTGCTTCTCGGGATTTTTCCCTAGTTGTGACGAGCAGGGGCTACTCCCTAGTTGTGGTGTGCCAGCTTCTCCGCGTGGTGGCTTCTCTTGCTGGGAGGCACAGGATCCAGGGTGGTTCAGCGTCAGTAGCTGTGGCATATGCACTCAGTAGTTGCAGTTCCCAGGCTCCAGAGCACTGGCTCAGTAGTTGTGACACCTAGGATTAGTTGCTTCACGACATGTGGGATCTTCCCAGACCAGGGATTGAACCCGTGTCTTCTGCACTGGTAGGCAAATTCTTTACCACAGAGCCACCAAGGAAGCCTCTATTTATTTTCAATATGTATTTATTTATTTAGTTGGGTCTTAGTTGTAGCACGTGGTTGTCATGTGGGATCTTTCATTGTGGAACTTGAGCTCAGCAGTTACAATGCAGGGGCTTCTGGAGCTGTGGAGTATGAGCTTAATTGCTCTGTGGCATGTGGGATCTTAGTTCCCTGACCAGGGATTGAACCTGTGTCTCCTGCCTTGCAAGGTGTTTCCTCAGCCACTGGACACCAGGGAAATCCCTTAATCTCTCTTTTAATTATGAGCAGCAGAGGTGAGATCATGCTTAGAACAAACAGCAAATCAGAGAATGGAATGGAGTCAGGGATTCCTGAATTACTGGCTCCATTCATGAATTCAGACCTCTATGCTAAACAGCACCGTGGAATATTTCCACAAGTGACAGAGAGACTCACAGTTTGATTTCTGTGATATGCCTCTTGTAATAATGTCAGGACTAACACTGGGTCCTCCTACTTCCTTTATGGTAGCAAGATAGCAAAATGGACATGGGTTCTAGACTCAGTCACAGTGTAAGAGTTGAACCCTGGCAGCCAGCAGGGGGGATTTTGAATCTCTTTTTCATGATTAATTCAATTTTCTTTTGGGGAGTTGACTGCCCACTGATTTCAGGGGCCATATCCCTGGGCAGAGCGGTACAGGGATTGTCTCCTTAGATGATTCACACTTCTCATGTGGGACAGAATTTAGCTCAGAAGGCCAGGTCATATTTCTCATGACAAGACTATAGCTTAGACTTGAGAAAGACAGGGATGACTGCCATGGTTCTGAGTTCTGTGCATCATGGTGAAGAGAGATGAAGAGCTTTCATTGGTGGAAAGGGTGTTGGAAGGACATCAGGAAGAACTGAACCACTGCAGGCTGTGATAGATCTGGAGATGAGCTGCTGGGAGGGACTGGAGTTCCCATATATGCCTCAAAACTGGGCTCCACAAATATCACTCTGATATCTGTTCCCATCATGGAAATATATACATCCAACTACTCAATTTAATTCTCAATAAAGGCACTTGGTAAATATTTGCTGAGCACCTACTATATGCCAGGCACCATGTCAGATTCTGCTGGATTCCGGGAATATATAACAGAATACAATACAGTCCTTGCTATCAGAAGGCTGCAGTTTAGAGGAAGATACAGGCCATTAAATGCACACCAAGGATGTGCAAAATGCCATTGACACAATAATGAATGAAACATAGCACACTCTGGTCTAAAAGAATTAAAAAGTATAGTCAGGTGGGGCTTCCCTGGTTGTCTAGTGGTTAAGAATCCACCTTGCAATGCAAGAGATACTAGTTTGATCCCTGATCCAGGAACATCCACATATCATGGAGCAACTAAGCCTGTGTGCCACAACTACTGAAGCTCGAGTGCCTAGAGCCAGTGCTCTGCAACAAGAAGCCACCACAATGAGATGGCCAAGCACCACAAGGAAGCGCAGCCACCACTCACTGCAACTGGAGAAAGCCTGCATGTAGCAACGAAGACCAGTCACAGACAAAAAACAAAGTAAATAAACAAATCTTTAAAAAAAATACAGTCAGGTAGAAACATGGGGAAGGAAAGTGGTGGAAGAGCCTGAGAATATTGGGTTGCTTGGTGGGACTGTCTTGAGTTCAGAAGCGTTTTCTGTTTCTTTTGTCCAGACTTGGGGCAATGACTTTGATGAACTTCACGTTGGGGTAAATGAAGGAAATGAAGTTATCCTTTCTCAGGATAGAAAAAGGAGCCTGGGAACATCATTATCCATTATTGCAAAGAAGGGATCCCAGTCTTGGACATTATGTATCAAATGTAAAAGAATTTACAATGGGGCCAGTGTCACATTGGACCTGCCATCAGCATATTTAAGAAGATAGAGGCTGTTGATTTCTCAACCCATAGTCCCACTTCTCCTATTTGGCTGCCTAGGTGGCATTTGACCACCAAGAGAAACATTGTTGATTCTGCTTAAGTTTTTGTTCTCTATAGTTCCTTGGAATCTTCCTACTGAGAGGCTCTGTGGTCCTGATCTCCAGGATTCTTCTGAGAATTGAAAGGAAGTAGGCATTTATCACACCCACTTCACAAAAGTGAAAGTGAATTTTGGAGAGTCTTTGAATCAAGTCTTACTACACTGGGGGGGGGGGGGGGGGGCGGTGTTCCATGGTCCCAACTCCCCCAGCATGCGATCTCCCTGACTGAGTCCTCCCCAAACCCCAAAAAACTTCACTAAGATTAAAAAGAAAGAAATGAGAATCTTTTTAGGGCATGTTGGCAATGTTCACCAAATGAGCTCACTTACCTTCACTGCGTAATAGTGAACCCCATAGGTTGGGAGAGACTCTACAATGCTCATGTAGCTGTTAAAACAAAACAACACACACATGCACACACGTGGTTATTCAGCAGGACTGATATCATACATCCATTGGTGTCTGTGTCTACATGATAAAGTTCTCAGAATGGTTATTACTTGAACATTAAATGGAACCACCACCCACTGGAGTCTCTCCCAGAAGAACTGAACAATCCTGACATTTTCTATGTGAACATACACACAACCTCATCAGCACTGGGAGGGGCGGGGTACTTACTTGACGATGGCTTGGCCTCTTGTCTGGCCATTGAGTTTCTTGTAGTGCTCGATGACCCGGTCCTCACTAGAACGAGAGGAAAACCTCAGTCTCCAGGTGACGGCCCCGAGCCCTCCTCATGAAAAGATCATGAGCCCCACATCCTCACGAGCAGCTCCAAGAAGCCAACAGCTCCTGGAAGAATGATTTGTCCCAGAAGCAGCATTTTGGAACCCAGCCGAAGTGAGATGTCCAGGGCAACAGAAGTACCAGAAGAGTCCACTTTCCCCTCAGAGGACTCACTCTCTTTGTCTTGAGTTTAGCTCAGGTTTGGGGGATCAGACTCCTTGTGGGAGCAGAGGATGAAAGGAGCATGCATCCCAGTTGGGAGGGATGCAGGATGAGGACAGGGAGACGGCTACTGCTGGAGGTCCATGTGGACACTCCTGGCAACCTCCATCGGGTCCTCCTCCCCCTCCTCACCTCCTAAATTCCATCTGCCCAGGCAGGGGGAAGCAGGTATTGACCTCAACAGGACATTCATGGCCTCTCTACCCTGTTAGCAGTTAAGAATTGAGGGTGTCAAAGGAGGATGGGAAAGTTCAGGAATTCGGGGCTGGTTAACACAAATCATAGAGCAATAAAAGGCCCACAGGAGCATTGTGAGATAAGAAGGCAGCCATCGGAAGCCAGATGGGGACCCAGTAACCTTCTGAAATCTCAGGTCTAACATAGCGAGAGATTAGGTCGCTCCTTGAGGGGCATGGGGGCCTCACCCTCCTGTGACGAGGCAGACAGTGTGAAGGGCCTGTGGGAAGTAACCCTGTACCCTGATGCCTTTGGAAATGCCAAGCCCAACTCAGGAACCACATTCCACCTGCTGGGAGGTCAAGTCCAAAAGCTTGGCCTCTGAGACCCTGGAACCTTCTTCCTCGGGCTTCCACCGTACTCTTCCTCCCCACAGCCTGTGGACTCCACAATGGGAGGAAATTCTAGGGATGAACACTCAAGACCTCCTCAGTCGAACTTTACAAACTATGATTCATTTATTATCCCAGAGCGGATCAAAAGCCTTCTTTCACCCACCTCTTATTAGTGAGGTCACTTCTGGGGAGGGGAGCACACATTCTGTATGTTCATTACCTAGTACTTGGGGGTAGTTTATTTTTCTTCTAGTTACTCTCTTAATCTTCTGTGAATATCTCTGCATGTTAATATTCTGAAATTTGACTTGTGCAAGATTGGCCCCTGGCAGGAAAGTGTCTTTCCTGATGTCCCAGATGGGGAATGACTGGCTACGACGGGCCTTTGTCTAGCTGAGAGTCTAGTCTACGGGGTCCAAGCACCCTCTGTTCAGAAAGGGGCAGATGTGGCCATGTTTCTCCCTGGCTCCCACACACCTCACACCATGGTGGCTCTGCATCGAGGGGGACAAGGCCCTCTCCTGACAGAAATTCTCCACAAGTGTCCTTGCTGAGGTGGACGCCAGCCTCACAGACCATCAGAGTGGGGTCAGGACATTCTGGGGTCACCCTTCCAGCTTCCTCTCCAGCTGCCTGCTGAATCAAGAGCCGGGTGGGCACACGATGATGTAGCATTTAGGGAGGCTGACCTTCAGATCCGGGGTCAAGTCACACAGTATAGCTACAAGCCCGCTTCCTTCGTAGAGTCGCAAAGAGGGTCCCTGGCTCCCTCGGCTGGGATGGGGGTTGGAATTCAACACAGCGCTGTAGTGGTGAACACCAGTGCGGCTCAGGAAAAACACCAGCGGGGTCAGAAACACCGGCAGGCAGCTGTGCAGCTGTCCACAAAATAAATGGCCCGACCCTTGGGGCCTCACTGAGCCTGACAGCTGCAGGGATCTGCCACCCTCACCCTCTCCCGCCGTCTGAGACCCTCTGCGAAGCCTCAGTATCTTCCTACTTTCTTGGCTTTCCCCTCTCTGTCTGTCCCAGTGGAAACACTGTGGGCAGGTATGTGATGCCCTGCTTCCCGGGACCCCCTCCACTCCCCGTCCCTCCATGGGGCCTGACAGATGATCATGGCACCAACTACCCCTCCATGGGATTACTATCAGAGACCCACCAGCCAGAGGAAATGGAATCCCCAAACACCATTTGGAGGACACAGTGTTACATGAAGCAAAAAGGCAAGTGACCCAGCCTGATGGTGCCCCCGGGCAGGGACTGGGTCGTGCTATCAAGGTCAATCATCTCTGCACGCAGGGAACCCAGAAACAAGGCAACGGCCACAGGGCTCCCTGTCTTGGAGGAGCCGTCGACCTGCAGGGGCCAGTGATTTCAGAGTAAAGGAAGACATCCCCTCATGCCCTCTCTGGGTGTATTTGTGATTCTGCATCAAGAGAAGCCAGGTCAGGGCCCTGATGCTACCTTGTCCCGGGGCCCTGGGCACTGTGTGACTCGATGCCACCCTCCCATAAGGAGATCATGCAGGGTGAGAAGTCCAAGCCCGTGGAACGCTTGGGGAAAATGAGCAGAAGGGATTACTGGGTGATGGCTTCGCATTATTGTGCACTGCTCACAACTTTCTAACTGCATTATGTGCTTGTTTATTAATATTCCTCTCTTAATTACAGTCTGGATTTGGCTGGTATGGTTAGTCTCATTTTACAGATGGAAAATCAAGGCAGCAGAGCTTCCTGGACTGTTATTACCCCACAGCTCAGAGACATGGCTGGGATCCTAAATGTACTGTTCTGCTCACTAGGCTGTAACGCCTTCCCTGGCTAGTGTGGACAGGATCCCTATGGCTTATTTAGGCCCGAAGGTTCTCTACTGCATCTGTGTGTGGGGGTGCCTTTTTTTTTCTTTTAAGCTATGCATAATGACAATGGTTCATCCCACTGGCTTGTTTGTGTACAAGCTGAGCTGTAGAACCTGGGGGTACCTGCTTCAAAAGTATCCCTCCCTCTGTCCTGTCATCCTCCTAGGACATTTAGACAGTAACATTTGCCTCTGGGTCCAAATGAGACCTGGGGAAAGTGTGGGCCTGGTCACAGAGATGCAGGGCTGTTCTGGCAGGACAGGTAGAGACATGGATGAGGATGAAGCTGTTCATACTGACAAAAGAGAGAGTACCAGCGTGAAGGAAGGAGTCATGGGTCAGTGATGATGTTTGCGCACAGAGCAGCTATGGAGATAACAGAAGAAAACCCAGAGACAGGAAGGAGAGAGAGAAAAGGGGTTCACAGCTCTGAAATGAGCAGCCAGGGTATAAACAACATTTGGAAACACACAAATGAGATAACTGAGGGATTCACACAAATGAGATAACTGAGGGATTCATTAGGCTCAAAGCAACTCCGACTCCAGACAAGCCAGCAACATTACAGCCTCTGCCGGCAAATACATTTCACCAGGTAGGAACTACCAGTTTTGTGAATTATTTCCTTGCAGCTCCAGTCCCTTCATCACTAGTTTCCTGAAAATAAACCACTGGGAGGACAGAGAAGGAAGCATAAGCAGCACAGGGAGCATAAGGAACTGGGGAGAGGGCAATCTGGTTCCACAAAAAGGAAACAAGAGTGCCATCTGGGGTGTTTGTATGTGCACGCTGCCAGGCGGGAAGTTTGGAAACTGACACATGCAAAGTCTTTGTGTGTTAAACCAATCTCATTCTTTGAAGGCAAATTATAAGGTCCTGAGCACTGTTCATCACATCTATGCTACCAAGAAAAGACTAGCAACAAACAGTTCAGAGAAATGAAACCGAGAATGCCAACACACAGGTGGAAGCTCACAGACTCAGGGTTCAGCCCTTTTATTTCCTGTCCAGCTGCCCCATTGTTTGGTCTCTTGGCAAGACATGATTTATGTCCTAGAGTTTCATCCTGCTAATGCCCTCCACAGTAAGACACACCCCATCCCAGCCAAAGGAATCCCCTAAAGCCACCCGGATGAGTGAACAACTAGTTTGGCAATGGGAAAGGTGTCTGGACAGATGAAATGTTATTAAACTGTAAACTTCATAAAGTGTATTAAAAGAAATGCTGAAAAGTCATAGTTATAATGCAACAAAATTGACTTGTTCTGTGATTTTTATCTTATTATTTTAAAATAAAAGCCCTGAAATTATTTGTTCTAGTTCTGTGAAAAATACCATTGGTAGTTTGATAGGGATTGCATTGAATCTATAGATTGTTTTGGGTAGTATAGCCATTTTGACAATATTGATTCTTCCAATCCATGAACACGGTATATTTCTCCATCTGTTTGTGTCCTCTTTGATTTCTTTCATCAGT